TTACTTCTCTTTCTTTTGCTTTGTTAACACACTTGATTAAGGGCATCGGCTGAGTGAAATTGTAAATATCATCATGGAGGAAGCAGAACATAGTACCTTTACAATGCTCACAGATATTTTATGGAATATTCCATAATGAATCTGTAATGAATGGAATCATTTTTCTCCTTAATTTAATCTTTTCCAAACATGACAAATCAATTTTAACAATGTGCCAACAGCTGCTTGTATTGTTTTATCACAGATGTTAAAACAGTTAAGTTTTTCACAAACTGTCTCTGTCCTCCATTACTGCTGTATAAAGGATAACTGCTAGAACTCAGGACTGAGATACTCAGATACATTAATAATGCATCAGATCAACAACCAAGCAGATCACAAAGAGGGATTCCCAGGGCACGACCACCAAGCGAAGATCTTTCACAGCTCGGTAGCCTTTAGCTGGAATTCAAAACACTGACAAGCAAGAGGTGGCAGAAATTCTGACATTATCATGTTACTGATTTTTTTAAAAACTGGACATGACTACTGACCGTCTTAAACACTGGAATCACATCTGATGGCATGATACTAGTGTAGTAATAATAGGTAAAAACCTTGCATAATTCTCCTCAATTTTATAAACAAACAGAAGAGAAAGTTGCAGTTTAAGGAGAAGAAATGGCAAAAATTGGAGACACTCCTGGGTTAACTGTCATGATCATCACCCCTCCTCTAGAGGGCGCTCCGACCCTTTCGTATTCTAGTTGAACACTGGGGGACAGTGTTGAGTGGACAGCAATTGGACTACAGCATTCATATAGAACAATTCAGTCATTTGTTTTTAAGATTGATGAGAAAATGACACTTTGTATTCAAGCTCTTTACAAGCTGTAGAAACCAAGAAATTCAAGCCTGAAGTGTTCGTTTGTCCAGCCAAGCTTTATTGTATGCATACAAGGAACCACAATAAGCACCATAATAGTTATAATATAACTTATATATACACCCACCCCCACCCCCCCGTCTTTGATGTAACCGAAGGAAACAGAAACCTTCCTTTGTCATCAGGATTTTAGTGTAAACATTTACCATTTGGGTAAAC